TGCTCTATATTGCATTTCTCCAAAATGTAAGAGTGAAATTGATGTTCTAGAAAGATGTGCTATGTTTATACTGTGGCTTCAATTCTCCCATCCCCACACTCTGAGCAGCCACCGGGATTCATGGCCCTGATTTTGAGATGCAAGATCTTGGGGATCTCTAAGGCTGTAATAGAACAGGTCTCTAATGTAAATTAATATAAAAACAAATATTACTATTTGACAAAGCCAGAAGAAACTGTTCATTTATTTAAGATAAGACTTTTTAGGCTAACAATTTTGTTTTGGGCTGGCAACAGCAACACTGGTTATCTTGAAGGGAAATTGATGGATTATTTACTTAATAATTTCCAGGACCAAATCACTCCACAAAGGTAAAAACAAATTTAAGGGGTCTTGGCTTTGAGAAAACCAGGGAGCATTATTTCAAATTTTAAAGTAAATGGAAACACTGATCTCAATATGAATGCAAGCAAACTGTTTCAGATCCTTCAGCCAGAGCTGGATTGATCTGAAATGTTAATGAACAATTTATTTGTGGTTTTAAATACACATTCAGTCATTCCATTCTTGGGCAATTTGCATAGTTTGCTGTAGCAAAACCAAGATAAAAGCAGTTGTTGGATTTTCCACCTTGTTTGGCAAGAATTTCAAGGCAATTGCCTTAAGCTTCCGCTTCAATTTGCCAGTGGAAACGGGGCTGGCTCTCCCAAGATTTCCGAGAATGTTATTAAGATGAAATCACTTGACTTTTATCTATTTCTGTTTGATTTAATGTCTGATAGAAGCAATATGACCACCTAGACTTTACATTGTATTTCCTTGGGATTAGTGAGCCTCTGCCACTCTTCTAATAACCTCACAACTCTTATAATAAAGTGAGTTCCTCATCCTTCACTCACAAGTGCTTGTTGGGTGCCTTCACTCAGGCACTGCATGAGGTGCCAGGGAAGCAGCAATATGAAAGACAGACATGGCCTCCATTCGCAGCAGAATGAAGCCGAGCAGAGGCTTCATACCTTTTTCAATAACTAAACCATACTCCCTTGCTCCCCACGAATTCTAAGTGGGGATGAAATCACCCACAAAGGAAAGAAGTCAAAATTGATTCTTGGGAGGACAAAGGAATCTTAGACACTGTGATGGCTGCAATCTTCCAAAGCTCAATCCTACCTGACAAAATCTTATTCCTTAGTATTTAGTTTCTCTCATTCATGTTTCCCTAGGGGATGCTAATGAAAGAAAAGAACCACATCATACTCTAAAATTCCACTAAGTTGATCTTCCTCAAATGCATCATAACCCTGCTCAAAAATACTTCCTTAACTTCCTGCTGCTTTCTGAATCACATGCACGCTCCCTACGTTGATATTCTTGTCCCAACCCACATGTTCCACCTTCTCCATTACCTACTCCAAAGCCCTACCATCCAGGCAAACGAGCCTCCAAATAGGCCATTTGTTGGCTCAACTCGAGCCCCTGCATGTCTTCCTCTGGGCCCCGAATGCCTTCTCCCCACTTCCTACTTAGCTTCTGGGCCATCCCCAATGGCCTCTCCTCCACATGCCTCTAACACCCTCCTACAGAGGTGAAATGGTGCCTTTTCTCTACAGAACGTTTTCTTCTGACTTCCTCATGCCACCTTGCTTGCCTAGTCTCATGTTCGAGCTATTTGGTGGTTTTGAAACACTTTCTGCTACTTGGAAAATTCCTTGATTTTATTCACCTTAGCATTTCCCATGATGCTTCAACACTTTGTTTGGCATGTAATGGGGACTCTCACCAACTGTGTGTGGAATTAAACAGAAGAAAACCCTTAACTCTATTAGAAACAAGGTAACATCAACCAGACAGTACAACTTCGTTAGAGATAACAAAGTAATATGCAAAAAAAGAGACCAATTAAAGAAATAAATAGTAAAGTGTACAATAATATGATTAAAATTATGAGGAGGCTAAAATAATTTTAAGTTTAGTAACACTATTGGAATCACTAACATTATACTAAGCAAAAAAAAAAAAAAGAGGCCAGTTTTAAAAAGCTATGTTGTGACCCAAAAGTGTTGTGTTGTTAATTTTTTTGATATAGCAACTTTTTAACTTACCAGTTCATTATTAACTCTAATAGTTGCCATCATTTAAAAAATGTCAATATTTCTTGAAACTACAGGACTCTTAGCAAGCTAATTATGCCTATGTAATTCTGAGGAAAGTCTATTTTAAGGAAGGTGAGCCCTCATCTTCCGAACCCACACAGGTGGAAAATATCCTAAGGCTAGTGCAAAAGTTATAAAACATTTATTATAAAAAAGAATTGTGACTTAATATTCTTAAGGTTGCAACATTTCCCAAATTGATCTACAGATTCAATGCAATTCCCATCAAAATCCCAAAAGTATTCTTGCAGAAATTGAAAAGCTGATCCTAAAATTCATTTAGAATTACAAGGAACCCAAAATAACCAACATGGTCTTGAAAAAGAACAAAACTGGAGGACTCGCACTTCCTGATTTCAGAATTTACCATAAGCTACAGTAATGAAGTGTGGTACTTCCATAAATGCAGACGTATAGATCAATGGAGTATAACCGAGGGTTCAGAAATAAACCCTTACATTTACAGTAAATTGATTTTCAGCAAGAGAGCCAAGACCATTGAATAGGGGAAAGAACAGTCCTTTCAACAAATAATGGTAGAATACGCATAAGATTGAAGTTGAACCCTTACCTCACACAATACATAAAAATTAACTCAAAATAAACCAGAGGTCTAAATACGAAGGCTAGAACTATAAAACTCTTAGAAGAAAACACAGGAGTAAGTCTTTACGACTTTATTAGTTGTTTGTTTAATACCCTAAATTTGTGGTATGGCAGCCACAGGAAGCTAACAAACCATATAACCCAACAATGCTCCTCCTATGTATATCTCCAAGAGAATGCTAAATATGTGCACAAAAGCAAGCCCATGAATGTTCATAGCAGCATCATTCATGATAGCCCCAGTGTGGAAACAACCCAACATCCATCAGCTGATGAGTGGATAAACCAAATGTGCCCTATCCACACAATGGAATGCTGTTCAGTCATAAAAGGGGATGAAGTACTGCTACATGCTATGACTTGGATGAGCCTGGAAAACACTATGCTAAGTGAAAGAAGTCAGTCACAAGAGACCATGTATTATATGATTGCATTCACAAGAAATGTCCAGGAAGAGGCAAATCTATAGACAGAAACTGGATGAGTGATTGCCTAGGGTGGGAGTGGGATGGGAATAGGGGATGAGGAAGGACTGAAAGTGGGTGTGGGGTTTCTTCTTCGAGTGATAAAAATATTCTCAATTTAGATTGTGGCAATGGTTGCACAACTCTGAGAATATACTAAAAATTATTGAATTGTATATATACTGTAAATGGGTAAATTTATGATAATAAATGATCGCTCAATAAAGCAGTAAGAAAAGAAAAAAAGGATAAGGAGCAAGTAATAAAATTTTATCTTAGCCTTTGGCATATATTTGATTTATAAACAATGAGTAATTATGAATCATAATTATTTTAGATCTATCCTACCGCAGCATAGACAGCAAACCTTATAACCAGCATCAGTAAGCTTCAAAATGAATCATTAACTTTGGTCTTTGATGCTGTGTTGTAAGAAATGTGACCTTGGAGGTTGATGGGTAAAGTTCCTAATAACAGGTTCAAATCCTAACCCTTTTCCTAAGAGGAAATGCTTGGCACCTAACAGGTTCCCCTCCTCACCTATTCTCGCTACTCACTTCATTGTATAAGGATTCATGGAAACTGTGTTCTCCTCTGTTCTTTGGGGTCTTCTGAGAGTAATTTCCTTCCCGATAACTTTACTATTTGTCAGTTTCCTCCAGTGTTTTGCCTCACTCTAAACAATCGAACGTGATAATTAGAACTTTCTTAAAATGATCTACCTTAAGATACGGCTTCTAAGAATGTTGTACATCTAAAAGTGGAGTCTTGCGGTGGCTGGAGACAGGGCCAGAGGAGGGCCATCACACACAGAGGCAGAGTCTCAGAGGGCACATGTAAAAACAGCCCACCTCCACCCCTCCCCAACAATACATGGGGACAGTTTGGCCTGGATCTAGGGCCGAACTGGAGTAGTTCTGAGAAGTCCTGCCAGGCATGACTAGGGGATCATGGTGAAGTCACCGAGGTTGTTCAGGTCCATTTATGCACAGGATGCTTAGGTGGGACCCTGAAGTAAGGCAGAGCCCACCCCAGTCAACATCCAGGTCAGTGAAGGGGACCCAGGAAGGGCTGGGCCTCAGTGTCGCTCTGTGCTAAACTGCAGTTGCTATAGGCTTTGGCTCCTTTGCAGTCCAGCCCTGCAGCTGTCTCTTCAGGAGCCGGTTCAGTGGGGCTGACCCCTGCCTCCCTGGACCTAGACAAATTCTCTCTGGCCAGAGTGACTGATTAGGCATGGGCATCTGACCCAAGCAGGTAAAAGGAAGCCCTGCTTGGAGCTTCGTAGGAAAGGGACACCCCTCTTCCCGGTGCTACAGGCCTGGAGCAAGAGTGATGCGGAGAAAGGCAGCCCAGGAGCTAAATTCTGCCTCTGACACTTAGCAGCTTTGTGTCCTTGAATAAATTATTTAACCTTTAGGAATCTCTGCTTCCTCACCTATATATATAATGAGAGGAATAATGTAGGCTCCACAGAGCTAGCATAAGGATTAAATTAAATCATGTAAATCACGAAGCACAGCACCTGGCCCCTAAGAGTCACTCAGCAATGACACATATTTGGAAAGAGTGCAAGGGGAGCCTTTGGCAGGAGGAAAGTCACTTGTCCAAGACACTGATGCAACCTTAAAGTTTCTCATCATAGAACTACCTTTCTGGCCCAGTTTACACTTGCACTACGGCTGATTATGCTGTTCTTTAGATAAGTGAATAATATCAATTCAGAACATTTGTGTCACTTCATTATGATGATTAATTATCCCATTTTAAAAGTACCTACCAGGATCTGTTGGTGCTGTTTTTCTACTTGATAGCCTCCAAAATGTATTATGCCAGGTCTGGCCTGTAGGACCTTATTACTCACAAGTTTTGCATAAACCTCTATAAAAACAATGTAGATAAGCACATCATGAGACATCAAAGAAAATATTAAAGTTGATCCTTATTAACATAGCTTTCTTTAATTTAGGGCATTTTAAGCATATGAAAGTTGTAGACATTGGATCCAGCTGTCAACAAGATTAATTATCGGTTCTAAATAAACTGAACTCCTTCTCCCTCTCTATTTTTAAACATCACTTGGGAGATACTATCATTACAACACAAATTCAGGCAGATTGTTACCTAGTGAAAGAATTTGCTCTTCACACATTTTGCACACATCTTTGTCATAAAACACCAGCTCATAAAGAGCACATGGCCTGTCTTTGCTCTGCCTAGCACTGAGATTACTTATTACGTAATGAATACCCAGCTCAAAGTATTCAAATACCACACACTTAATTTTAGTACTATGTGTTTAACTTTTATTTGATTTCCTCTGATTAGAATTACAATGTGATGTAGAGTAATATTAAAACTTAAAGCTCTGAAAAGTTAGCACTCGGAATGGTAAGTCTCAAACTGCTTTTGGTGTTATGTGAATGTCCCTTTTAAATGGCTGAGCTCACAGAAGTGTTCAGGTATACAAAAATTTTCCCAGCTCTTTATTTAGGCAGGAGCAGACGTGTGGAGAAGGTACTGAGAACCCACTCTATGTACGTGCTTTGTGCCAGGCACTGGTATGCATACATTTGTTTATAATCCTCACTCCAGCCCTTTGAGGTAGGTATTATTTCTACTTTACAGATGAAGGAGGTAAGACTTAACAAGGTTAAGAAACTTGCCTACAGCTGGTAATCAAAAATCAAAGCTAGGCATGGTGGCTCACACCTGTAATCCCAGCATTTTGGGAGGCTGAGACAGGAAGAGTGCTTGAGCCCAGGAGTTTGGGACCAGCCTGGGCAACACAGTGAAACCATGTCTCTACAAAAAATTTTAAAGTTAGTTGGGTGTGGTAGTGTGTGCTTGTGATCCCAGCTACATGGGAGGCTGAGGTACGAGGATCACTTGAGCCCAGAAGATCGAGGCTGCAGTGAGCTGTGATTGTACCATTGCTCTCCAGCCTGGACAATAGAACAACACCCTGTCTCAAAAGAATATAAAACAAACAAACAAACAAACAAACAAAGCAAAAATCAAGCCCAGGTCTGTCGGATTCCAACCAGTAATCTGCCTTCCTCATGAATGTCCTGTCCACCTTCTTACAAATGATAGCATTTGACTTTGACTGCATCCAAACCTTGTGAAGCACAGACACCCTCACCCCATCCCTTTGATCATCATAATTCCAGGGTACATCTGAAGTGGGTGTGAAACATTTGGTGTTTTTTTTCTTCTCACCCGGTGAGCTGTCACCGTCATCCACTTGGGTCAAACTGAACAGCTAGAATGGATTAAGGCTGGTGTGGTAGGGGAACTGATGATCTCCGTAGGTTATTATTTGGTCATTTTTAAGCACTGAAATGACCATATTCTGTAATTTTAAAAATTTATTTACTTTTATTGATTATCTTTTTTTGAGAGGGAGGGAGTCTCGCTCTGTCACCCAGACTGGAGGGCAGTAGCGCGATCTTGGCTCACTGCAACCTCTGCCTCCTGGGTTCAAGTGACTGTCCTGCCTCAGCCTACCAAGTAGCTGAGATGACAGGTGCCTGCCACCACGCCCAGCTAATTTTTGTATTTTAGTAGAGTTGGGGTTTCAACATGTTGTTCATTCAGGTTGGTCTCAAACTCCTAACCTCAAGTAATCCGACCACCTTGGCCTCCCAAAGTTCTGGGATTACAGGAGTGAGCCACCGCACCCAGCCTATTCTATAATGTTTTTAATGCTGAAAGATTTTATTTTAGAGCCACAAAGTAGATATAAAACTGGCATTTTTCTTCTAATGGCCAGAAATGGTCAAGTATATCAATTTTCACTTGACAAGTTCTACAGTGACAACAGAACCATATCCAAACACAGTATTATGTCCCCACATTTGTCATGGGCTTTGAAAGACGAGTGGTGGGTAACCAAGCATGTTAAGAGCCAGACCCAGGGCTCTGGTGGCTGAACACCAGCTCTCTACTTACTAGGTGTGCCATGTTGGGGAAATCTTGTGGTCTCTTTCAGTTTCACCTTCTCCAAGAGTAAAATGTAAATAGATCCTACCTCCTGATGTATTGTTGTGTGGATTGAATGGAAAGAATGTAGGCAAAATGATTATCCTTTTCCATAATAGCTATAGGATTTCTCAGGCTTTCTAGACTACAGGATATGTACATGAAAAGGCAAAAAGGTCTAAAATGCATGTGGTCCGAAGGGCAGGAAGGAACCTCATGTAGCCAGAGCTAGAAATGAGTGGGGCATGGCAATGGCGATGGTGCTGGGTGGACAGGTTCAGATTAGACAGTGAAGGGGGCCAAGCAAAGGAATTGTGACTTTATTCTGTATGCAAAGGGAGACTGTTGGGAGTTTGAGCAGATTAGGGATAAAAGCCAGCCAGGATTTTAGAAAGCAAACTGACAGGAGGAGAATGTGGTGGGGGAGGAGTCCCAGTGCCCCACTGAACATTGAGACGCAAGATAGGGGGAGCAGATAGGAAAGACATTAGAAGAAGTGGAAGCAACAGAACTTGATTAATTTACATACTCCACAAAAATCTATCAGTTAAGCAGATGGATATAAATAGAACGACTGTTCTTAGTAATAAAAATTCGTATAAGCCTATAAAATGATATAGATAAATCTGCACTAAAAAATCCCATTATGCTTTCTGGACTTTGGCTCGCCTGTGAAGATGTGAGTTGTAAAGCAAATCTGTCTTCTAGCCACCTACTTGATTCGAGGAGGTGATTAGGTACTTCTTTTCTTTTCTTCGGCTCCTCCACTAGGTCCTTCAAGAGCTGGGGCGATGCATTATTAAAGGGTTCTTTAGCATTCTTTAGTCCTCTGCTGGGGGTTTTCACCACTGCCATTTTATCATGAAAAATGGAGTCTTCCTTTTAGAGCCAAAGGTCATGTCCTGGCGAGGAAAGAGCAGCAGTATAATTATCCATGAGAAACCATGCACATTTTTTTCTCTTTCTTTGATAAATGTACCTCGTCTCTGTGTGGTTTACTGTGGTTCATGCCCTCCCTGGCTCTCCTCTCTGCGGGCCATTCCATTCCCACACATGGCTGTCCCATTAATCTTCTTACATAACCCATCGCAACCCAATGTCATGCCATTGCTCCAAACCCTTCTGCGGTCCTTGATTCTCCCCAGGAGCTTTTCTTGAAATGTACTTCTGAGATGCTTCTTGAGCTCATTGCAGGGGAAAAATAAAGGCTCTCGGTCAAACAAATTTGGAAAAGATTGATGTAGACAGTTAAATAAGACTTTTCTTTCAGAGATTTCTCCAAACGAGTTTCTTAGAGTATGTGACTATGGAAGTCTTTAACACTTGAAGGCACTGTTTACAGGACACTGGCATTTCAGAGTTACCCTCCTCCATCCCTCTGCTAACAGGGTGATGAGGAGGGGGGCGATGAGGAGGGGGTGAGGAGGAGGGGGTGATGAGGAGGGGGTGATGAGGAGGGGGTGAGGAGGAGGGGGTGATGAGGAGGGGGTGAGGAGGAGGGGTGAGGAGGAGGGGGTGATGAGGAGGGGGCGATGAAGAGGGGGTGAGGAGGAGGGGGTGAGGAGGAGGGGGGTGAAACCTACGGCCAGCCAAGTGCCAGACATGGGTGCATTCCAGCTCTGTGGATCTCAGTTCATGCCAAACCCTGTGTCCGACTTCTCTTGCCTTACCACACTCATTTTAAGTTCCATTTTCTTCATGAAGTTCACAGTGATCCCAACACACTTTAACGTTCTTTAGCAATCACTGCTTCTACTACTAATTTGGTGTTAATAATTTGTAGCCCTTTAAGAACATTTTACAAATCTCACATTCCCTTATATATTCCACAACTAAATCTCTTAACTTGGGGCCCTTGTGCAAGCCATGGGGCTGGCCCGTGAAGCCTCTGAGATGGAATGTTAAATAGTGTGGATCTTTATGTGTTTTTTTGGTTTTGTTTTTTCTGGAGAAGACTCATAGCTTCAGACTCCCGAGACGGACAGCATCAAGCGACACGCAGTGAATCTATGGTAGGAGGCGCTTAACAATCACTTTCAGAAAAAGTTCTCCCCTTCCCTCGCACCACCTCTCATAGCATCGCTGACGGCTGCAGGGCCCTCTCCTCACCTGCTTCCCTTCCCTCCAGCCCTTCAACGCCCGCCCTAGGCTCACCCTGCAGCCCGTCTCCTCCTGGAGCCTCACATCCCCTGTGCTTCAGGCAGGCCCAGAAGCCAGGCGGTCTCCACGCCGCCCACACGCCGGCTAGCCCACCGCCCCGGTAGGCCTGGCTCCGGTCTCACCGCCGCACCCTCGTCCCCTCGCCCCATCCTCTTCCGGGCAGGCCCTCTCACCCCCGCCAAGTACCTCCTCCCCGCCGCGACCTTTCATTCCACTCCTGCTAAGGGTTAGGGTAGCCCCAGGCCCGTGCACCGCCCCCCTACCATCCTCATGTCACCCTCTGGGCCCGACCTCTCCTCGGACCCAAGCTACGGCCGACTTTAGGCTGGACACCGCCTGGGGCTCGGTCGCCTCAGCAGCTAGGCTGCAGCGCCCCAGCGGCTGACCCTGGGCCACCCCGGCCCCAGGTCCCAGGCCGCTCACCCTGGAGGTGGTTCCCGGGCCGGATTCGGCAGGCGCCGGCGCCCGCTCGGAGCGTCGCCATGACGACGCGGACGCGCTCCCAGGGCTGGCGGCCGGGCGCGACCAAACGCCCCAGGGCGGGGGAGCCGGGCGGCTGCGGGCCAGGACCAGAGGCGGCGGGTGACTCCTGAGAGCTCAGAGCAGTTTGCCGGGCCTGGCCAAGAATTGACAGCGCGACTTATGGCATGGGATGTGAATGGATTCCCGAGGGGACATGAGAAAGTTGGAAACACCACACACTGGAACCCTGCAAGAGCGGAGCGCGGGAGAGAAGCCGGACGGGGCGGAGCCGCCGGAGCCAGTGGGCGGGGCTTTACCTGACAGGCATCACTCTTGACGCCCACTTTCTTGTAGTTTGTTTTACATTTTCTGTTGCAGTAAATTTCAAACATACACGAAGGCAGACCGACTGGTAAAATAGACCTTCAACACCCAGCTGCAACGATGATCAAACCCTAGCCAATCCTGTTTCATCAGTATCTTTCCCTGACTCCTAGTATTATTTTGAAGAAAATCCCAGACATCATTTCATCAATAAATATTTCAAAATATACCTCCAAAAGATAAGCGTTCTTTAAAAAAACATAACCACAATACCTTAGAAATTATAATTTATTAACATCTTCAAATTATCTCGTGCCATATTTATTTTTAGAGTTTGAATCAGAATTCAAATACATTTTGCACATTGGAATAGATTGATGTGTCTTCTAGGTCTCTCTTCATCAACAGATTCCTCTTTCATCTCTTTTTTAGTTGTTGCAATTTATTCACTGAAGAAACTGTTTCTGTCCTTGATACTGATATTTAAGAATTCAAATAAAATTTGTATATCGAAACAGATTGATGTGTCTTCTAGGTCTCTTTTCATCAACAGATTCCTCTCGCATCTCTTTTTTTAGTTGTTGCAATTTATTCGTTGAAGAAACTGTTTCTGTCCTTGATACTGATATTTAGGGGTTGTAAACATGAAACCGCGCCCGCTCCTCTGACCTCCTGCCCTGTCCATTCCACCCTGCTCATCCATGAATATTATTTTTTTCAAAGACAACTGAAGCTTCTCTTTTCCCAGGAATTGTCCTTGTCTCACTCCCTGCTTGTATGGCTTTGATACTTGCTTGATGTTACTTACGGCTTCATGTTGATGAGAGGGTATAGTAAGAGTCCAGTGAGGGTACCTGTCTTGTTACATTGCCTCTTGTGCTGGATGCGTATATTCCCTCCCTGCTCTTTCCCAATGAGAAATGTTCATTTTTTCCATCTTCCCATTCTCCAATTCTTCTCTGTCCCCCACCATTATTACTTACTAAAAATCTCCCCATCTTTCAAGGCTAGCTCTGGATAAGGTCTCCTCTCCTCCCCACCCTCCTCCTAACCCACCAGTCCGGAAGGACTCCTTCCCTCCTCTGGGCTTCCATAACCCCTTGTTCCGCCATCTTTATCTCTATGTTGCACCCAACATGATTCATGTCTGTGACTTAAACTGCAGAATTCCTAAGGGAGGGAACTGTACCTTGTCTTAGGATCTCCCAAAGTCCTTGACACAGTGTTTTGTTTTTGTTTTTGTTTTTGAGACAGAGTTTTGCTCTTGTTGCCCAGGCTGGAATGCAATGGCACAATCTCGGCTCACTGCAACCTCTGCCTCCCAGGTTTCAGTGACTCTCCTGCCTCAGCCTCCCGAGTAGCTGGGATTACAAGTGCCCGCCACCATGCCCAGCTAATTGTTTGTAATTTTAGTAGAGATGGGGTTTCGCCATGTTGGCCAGGCTGGTCTCAAACTCCTGACCTCAGGTGATCTGCCCACCTTGGCCTCCCAAAGTGCTGGCATTACAGGCATGAGCCACTGCACCCAGCCACTTTGACACAGTTCTTTGTCCATATTGATTACTCAGTAACTGTTGGCCAAGGGGGTGAAACAATTCATTTGTTTATAGAGTAGGTTGCTTTAGTTCCTTCTGTTTTCTTGGCCCAAAGCTGTAGATTTCAGAACAGGTACTATGCTTCCCACAGTCCCAGACCTCTGCATCCAGCACAAATCACGAGATATTTGTTTTCACATACTTCTTTATTTTTAATTTTTTATAGAGGTGAGGGTCTTGCTGTGTTACCAAGACTGGGTTTGAACTCCTGGCCTCAAGCAATTTTTCTACCTTAAACTCCATATGCTTCTTAATGGATATTGGGTAACACTTTTTCATTTGTACTTAACTTTCTTGAGAAAAATCACCAAAGTTCGTATTATATATAGATAACCCATAGGTCTCTATATAAGCAGTAAATCCAATTGAATATTATAGTGTAGTGGACACTGCTGGTTGCCTACTTCCACTTTCTTTCTAATGGAACCACAGCTTTACTCTAGTTTCTCCCCAGTTCCCAGTTCTAACAGTAGACCCTGATTTTATCTAGGTCAGGCCAGGTGTGGTGGCTCTTGCCTGTAATCCCCAGCACTTTGGAATACTAAGATGGGAGGATCACTTGAGCCCAGGAGTTTGAGAGAAGGCAGGGCAACATAGTGAAACCTCATCTCTACAAAAAATTTTTTAAATTACCCCAGTGTGGTGGCTCACACCTGTAGTTTCAGCTACACAGGAGGCTGAGGTGGGAGGATTGCTTGAGCACAGGAGTTGGAGGCTGCAGTGAGCTATGATCATGACACTGCACTCTGGCCTGGGTGACAGAGACCCTACCTCAAAACAAAACAAAACAAAACAATGCAATCCAGGCCAAGTATGGAATTCCCAATCCCCTTGCAGACATTGCCCGTGATTTAGTTAGGGTTGGATACGTAGCCCCATTCTGGTCACAGGGACAGGAAAAGGGTTCTGGGGGTCTAGAAAAGACTTTCTTTCTCCCAAGAAAGATATACATAGATACAGTATTTTTCTTCTTCTGGACTTCCGAGTGTCAGGAAGAGATTCTGGAACTGCAGCTGCCATCAGAGGCCAGGAGGGGCCCAAGTGTTAAAGAGGTGACAAGGACAGGAGAACAAGGAGACAGAGAGACCCTGGGCCTGGATGATATCATTTCACTTCTATTTGTTTGGTCCTTGCATTCTATTTTCTCTTTCTTCCGACTGAAAACAACTGACATATAATGACTTCTGGACACTTACTTCTCAAGGTGTAAACTGTGGCACAGGAGCTTGTTAGGAATGCAGAGTTTTGGGCTATCCCAGAATTTGGTTCAGGCTACTGGAACAAAGCCTGCATTTTAATAAGTTTCCACAGGAGACTCATAGGCACATTAAAGTTTGAGAATCATTGAACTGATGGAGCCTTACAATTATAGCTGTATTAAATAATCAATTATTTAATCAATTTATTTATGTGGTCCACATTTATTTCACTTACAGTTTACAATGAGAACACAAAGGTGTCACAGCATCTGCCGTATAAGTGCAATGAGACAAGTGTGATAAAAGGCATGGAAGCTATAAGCCTCAGTAGTACAGGGAGAGTCATTAATTTCCTTGCCTAAAACTCTTTGGTGGTTTCAAATTGTACAGAAGATAAAATTCAACTTCCTTAACACTCTTATTTTCTCCCCCACAGAAACAGGGTCTTGCTCTGTTGCCCAGGCTGGAGTGCAGTGGCACCATCATAGCTCACTGCAGCCTTGAACCCCTGGGCTCAGGTGAGCCTCCCAGAATAGCTAGGACTATAGGTGCATGACACCATGCCTGGCTAATTTTTTTTAAACTTTTTGTAGACAGGGTCTCACTATGTTACCCAGGCTGGTCTTGAACTCCTGGACTCAAGTGATCCTCCTGCCTTAGCTTCCCAGTATGCTCGGAATATAAGTGCAAGCCACAGTGGCTGGCAAAAAAATCCTTTACACTCTTTTAGGGCTTTGTAGGACCTAGCTGCTGGCCCCTTGCTTCATCTCCTCCTCACCCTGCTTCATTATGTTCCCCCACCTCCCCTTTACCTGGTATAGAGAGTGAACGCTGGCTGCAAATTCTTTGGCACTGCTCCCAAGAAGAGGTGAGGCCTCTGTCCCCTCCTCTTGAGTCCGGGTGGGTCTATGACTGCTTTAACTGCCCAGTGGTGTCCTATCTGAATTCTTGACACCAGAATTTGTGAGATATAATAAAATGATGTTTCATTCCTTTGAGTTTTGGGATAGTAGGTTATTCTGTAGCAATAAATAACGAGAAACTTGGCTGATTCCTACTCAGTCTAAGGGTTTCTTCCTCAGGGGGGCCTTTCCTGCCCTTCTTTCTATATCGGGTCCTGCACCTTGGTGCTGTTTCCAGTACTGTGTTCTTTCCCTTCATAGCTGTCTTAGTCTATTCTGGCTACTATAGGAAAATCCTTTAGACGAGGTTCCTTACAAACAACAGAAATGTATTTCTCATGGTTCTGCAGGCTGGGAAGTCCAAGATCAAGGCACCAGCATTTTTAGTGTCTGCTGAGGGACCACTTTCTGGTTCATAGATGGAGAACTTCTGGCTGTGTCCTCACGTGGTGAAAGGGGTAAATGAGCTCTTAGGCCCGTTTCATAAGCCCAGTTCACTTAGGCCTGTTTCAGTCAGCCCATTCACGAGGGCTTCGCCTTCATAATCTAACATGTTCCAAAAGGCTCAACTTCTGAATGTCATCACTTTGCGGGTTAGGTTTCAACCAAGGAATTTTGGGGGACACATTCAGACGATAGCTGCTGGGTTTACCTCTTTGACATCTGTCTTCTTGGACTGTAAGTTCAGTGAAGGCTGACTAGTTCACCACAGTGTATGCAGTGCCTTGCACACTACCTGGCACATCCTGGGACCTCAAAAATATTTGTAGAATTAACTCATTAATGAGTTACACCAAGTGATTTCTAAAGTTTAAATTATATATATCTTTGGAATATGGGTAATATAGTCATGTGGTTCAAAATTCAAGAAGTAAAAAATCTCTCTCCTTCCTCTGCTTTTTGCCATCAAGTTCTCTTTCCCGGAGGTAACTCATGTTACCAGATTTGAATTTATCTTTATAGGAATATATTATACATACCAAAGCAATTGTGTGTATGCTTGTATTTGTAAGAAGTTTATCCCTTGTTTATTTTATTTATATATTTTTGAGACAGAGTCTTCTTTATTACCCAGGCTGGAGTGCAATTGTGCAATCATGGCTCACTGCAGCCTTGACTTCCCAGGCTCAGGTGATTCTCTGGCTTCAGCCTTTTGAGTAGCTGGAACCACAGGCATGCACCACCATGCCTGCCTAATTTTTTATACTTTTTGTAGAGATGAGGTTTGGCTGTGTTGCCCAGGCTGGTCTGGAACTCCTGGGCTCAAGTGTTGAGGGAAGCCCACCTCGGCCTCCCAAAGTGCTGGGATTACAGGTGTGAGCCACTGTGCCTGGTCTTACCCATTGTTTAAAAAACTCAAATTGCTTACTTTTGTGACTCCCTTTTCTTCACTTGAAAATATATCCAAATGATTATACC